TTTTATTACGTTTTTCCGGCTGTTTCATGATTATATATACATATATTCAAATGTGAGTACAAGGCTGATATAAATTCAAGTATCAATACAAATATACATACTTATGTATGTATGTACATACATTCTATTTAAAATCTGGCAAAACAATTTTCTACATAAAAACAGAACGGCAACTCAAATCAATGAGTATACATTTGTGTATACGAGTACGATGATGGCGATGGGATGATGGATATTTAAACAATGAAACATTTACGGTATCCGCCATTTTTGCCGATTTCTTTAACGTTAATAAAAATTTTTCAGGCTATTTTTGAACAGCATGTGTTAACTTTGTATTTGTTTAAATAAATTCAAATAATGTAGATTTCAGCAACAATAAACGCAATTTCATACAGAACTCGTGAAAATGCAAAAAAAAATACCAAAAATTGTTCATCAAAATTTTCAATCTTTCAATTCGATTTCTTAGAAAAATCTTGCGTACGCAGTTTTGTAGCCCATTAGCCTAATAAAGTGCAAGTTTCAAGTCGCTAAAAATGACGCCAATTGCAAACGCCAAGTGAAGCCAAGTTCTTCTCCACCTGGCCTCTCCAACGCAGAGGAGGCCTTTGCCTTCCCCGGTTACATCGGCATCGTGACCCGGGTTGAGTACTTTCAGAGCAGGGGCGTTTCTGTCCATTCGACGTACGACATAGCCAAGCGAGCGAAGCCACGGTATTTTAATCCGCCGCATAATGCCTATATCGTTGAAAAGCTCATAATTACATCGTCTGCGGAGTTATGATATTTGAAATTTGATGGGCTATAAATCTGCATACCAAAAACCTTTCAAAAATTTCGTATTTCGTAGGTTTGCAATTCTGGTGAAACTCTGTAGAATTATTCTAATTTTTGCACCAAGTTTAGAATTGAAATGTGTGTATACGGCTTTGTTATAAAATGTTTGTAAAAAAAAGCAATGAAAATAAAAATAGCCACAGCTGGTCAAAATGTAGAGGTGGTATTGTTTTGGCCGTGGGTGTATTTAAAACCAGTTGGAAAATACCTAGCTACCTACTTAGCACATACATGCATACATATGTAGTTACTTATTTATAGTGTACATATACAGTAGAGTGGTCCAAAAAAATAAAGTCGGAGTTTTAATGCCGGCACACCCTAGGATTGATCTATATCGAAAAAAATATACCCCAATTTTTTTATTTTGAAATCAAAAAATAAGAATAGGGAGTGCTCAAAGCGCCCAAAGTTTTCCATGTATTTTATATAGAGAAAAAACAGCTTTTCGTAGAAATAGTGTAGAAAATCAATATTTTTGAAAACCAATATTTTTTGATCGGAAAACTTGACTTATCTTCAGAAGATACCCAATTGTTTTGTTAACAATTTTTTCATGGTAACTATATTTTATAGGTCCTCCAAAGCCCTTAGAAAATGCAATGGGGGGGGGACCAATAAACTTCTTTTATCATAAAAAATGGTTAAATAAACAATTGGATATTAATACTGGAAGTCTCCTGAAGAGAACCACCGTTTTCCGGTCGAAAAATATTGATTTTCAAGAGTTTTATACCATTTCTACCAAAAATTGTTTTTTCTCCAATATAAAATCCATGCGCTTTGAGCACTCCCTAAATATTTTTTTGATTTCAAAATAAAAAAATATGGCTATATTTTTTTCGGTATATAACAATCCTAGGGGGTGGCGGCATTAAAGATACGACCTTATTTTTTTACATACATTTTTGGACCACTTCAATATACAGGTTTTCATCCATATTATAAATTTATAAACATGCAATTGTAGGTTTTTCTTCTAATCGTTAGAAATCTGAAAAGTCTGAAGCGATTAGCCAAAATACTTGAATGCCGTGATATGTTGGTACTGATCAGCTTAAATTAATTGAAAAATTAACCTAACATATATCTACATGCGTACTGTTGTGGTTTTTGCTGTTGAATGAACTATATTTTTATAAAAAAAAAATAAGAAACATTTTGTATGAAAAGTATAAGAAAATAAAATCTTCAAAGGTCAGGTGGCGCTGACATATATACTCGGAAGTATTGGTTTTGTATATTATTTAAACAATATTGTCCTGGTTATCTCATTATAATTAATGAGATGAGATTAAAGTTCCTTAAATCGTATTTAAAAGTTATTTTGGGGGAATACCATTGAAAAAGGGTAATTTTTTAAGGACTTGGGGGGAATTAGCCTTAATAGAGTTGGCATCGCTGGTTCGGAGCTGGAGCGTAGGGATAAAAAAATCCTTTGCTCCGAAGCACAGGTTTGAGTAATTTCATTTACTTACATTCTCATTTATTACTAAATGCTGCTCCGTCGTACAAGAAAAGACTTCTGCATTGAGAGTTTTAGATAATTTTTAAAGTGGCTTTTTTATTTGAAACGGACAAAATATTCATTGCTCTGTTAGCGCAATAAACACCAACAAAAAGAGCAAATTTTAATTCCCCTGAATCCGTTAGCTATTTATATATAACTTATAACAGCTTTAAAATTTCATGGCCAAGTGCATTTGTATTATATGGCATCCCCGCCCGAAAATATGATAAATAAAGTATAATATTTACAGCTTGAAACTAACTCGCATGTTTATACTTTAGCATATTTTTGTAGATATGTACATTAAGGCGTATCACGAAAAAAAGTTTAGCTTGTGTCAGTTTTATTTGAACATTAATCGCGTTTTTTAAGTTCTTATGTCACCGAAAAGGACGTCATCGTTTTTTGAGAGCTTTGGATTTTTAGTATAAAAATAAAAATCTAGGCATAGTAATTGCAAAATTAGTGACGGTATAAATTAAAGCAATTTTGAAGGCCGAAACTGTCTAATGGTCAATTAGAGACCTGAGCGACACCTTTTCAGCGACATAAAAAAAAAAATCGGATAAAAAATAAGAAACTTATAGCAAAAACGCAATTTAGTGGTTTTTAGTGGGTGTCTAAAACAAAAAAAGTACACCTAATATTTTTTCTAGACGTAAGTGTTTAGATAAAACAGACACACGCTAATTTTTTTTTCTTTCATATGTCGTGATACGGCTCAATCTACATTCATCCGTACCAAGAGTTTTACAATATAGATTATACAGCACAAAAGTATATAAATGCGTGTATATATAATAAGTAATTGTCGAAATCTTTTTATTATTTAGTTATCGCTGCATAGGTGAAAACTTTCAATTAAAGTCTGGTAAAGTAGTTTCAAATTGGTTAATACATTATATGTTTGTTTGTATGTACATATGTATATACGTATGTATGTGGCTGTGTTAATGAGTATATTTATGAATGAAATTCGTTATGAAATTAGCGATATATACATACATATCTACTCTTAATCAAATTCATTCTACTACTTTGATTTTCGTTGCAACTATTCGGTTCGATGTAAGAAGCTCAGAAGTTTAGGTGTAGTATATGTGTATGTGTACTTATATACATATGTCTATATATACATATATATATTTAAATAGGCCCTTATTAAGAGTTGCATTCAATCGATAGCCAGCGAAGATCGAAAGTGAAATTCGTATTATGAGCTATGCAAGCGTGTCGAAACTTTCGTTGAGTATCGAATTTTCTGTCGAACAGAATTTTGATTTCGTTGGTGTAGCGTAGAAGTGTTGAAAATTGTGAAAAATTTATGATTTTGCATTTGTTCTCTTACCTTTTGGCGGCTAGACACTAATTTGAAACATTTCTTATTAATTTCATGCAGTTCTAACGTCGTGAATACTAAACACCAGCTCGTAAGGCTGGTTTTACTTGTGAAAGCAAATCCCAATACTCTGTTGGCACGATCTCTGAGAACAAAATCATAGATCTGTTTATAGTTTTAATATATTTTAAATAGATTTGGGTCAAAATATATTCGAAAGACTACACTTAAACTCTCTTAAACGTTTTCTGCTCCAGGCCAATTTTCTAAGCTCTCATCCTCTGACGAATCGTTCAACCAGAACTCCGCTGTACTAATTGTTACCAAGTTTTTATAAACTCGCTTTTTTTTACTTCATTTTAATTAGAACAAATTTACATAAATATGTATAAGCACTAGGGTGGTCCAAAAGAAATAAAATCGGAAATTTAGTGCTCTCACCCCCTAGGATTGGTCTATACCGAAAAAAATATACCCCTGTTTTTTTGTTTTAAAATCAAAATATATTTAGAGGTCGCTCAAAGCGCTCAAAGTTTCCCATGTATTTTGTATGGGGAAAAAAAGACTTTTCGTAGAAATGGCATAGAATCCATGGAAATCAAAATTTTTCAATCTGAAAACTGTGATTCTCTTCAGAAGACTTCAGAGAATAATGCCGAATTGTTTATTTAAACATTTTTTAATTTTAACTATTTTTTAAGGGTCTCCGAAATATCCCAAAAAAAATTAAATATACAAACAGAAATATACAAAAGAAAAAAAGAAAAAACTGTAAGCTTTTGAAATTCACAATAGCGCTATTCTTCACCGAATAAGTGCCATAATACCAAATGAAAATTCGTTCGTTCAGCGAACACAGTCGAAGATCGAATGCAACTCATAATAGGGGCCATAAATTCATATGTATGCATAAATACGTATCTGTTTATATACATATACATTATTTTGTTTATTTAGTGTTTATTTTTAAGTCCAGCACATTATATAACAATCATCGTACAAATCCATATTTCAAAATTTGTATAAAAATTGTAAAAATTCAACGAACTTTACTATGTACTTACGTAAGTAATTTCCCCTAAAAATTTTAAAATTTGTAGCTATGTAGTTTTATTGTCCATCAAATATAAGTAATATAAAGTATAGATAATTTTTTTGGCTGACGGTGTTGTGCTTTTCTTCCATACGAAAGAAATTGTCGAAAATTGTGTGTGGAAGAAAATGCAGAACACAAAATTTTTGGTACAAATTGGTAGTTTGTGAATATTTATAATTTGTGTACAAAGTTTGGAATGTGGATTTATATGGTGCTTGCTACATATATGTATATGATGTGCTGGTCAAAATTTTACTTAACTTAATCAGCTGACCACAGGGGTGTGTGTCTATGTATCGTTTATAGTGCCAAGCAAGTAAATGTAAATTGAATTTAGCCTTAGAATTATAACTAAATTAGAGCTACGATGTGTGATTACACTAGCAATTCCGTTTATTTATAAATACATAAATAGATTCTGGATATTAATTCGCGGACTTAAAAAATTTGCAAAATTCTCCGAATGCATGTTTCTAGATTATTCGTGGCATTGTCTTTAGATGGTCCAGACTTGGACTTTCTCAGCAACTACACACCAACTGGCCCGTTCATAATATGAAGACACTATGTGCAGACTGGCAACGTGATGGTTGATCAATGCGTCGAGCTCTCCCTCGCGGAAAACGTGGTAATAACGATGGTGTGTTGTCGCGCCTCCTTGAGAGGGACTTTCCAGAGAGCCAGTTGAGCTGTTTGAATTACCCCATGATTCTGTTGATTGCCGATTGCGGAGTGATTTTTGTTTGTGTTCGTTATTATCCCTCTCTTTCGCATTTGCGCCTTCTTCTTTTTCCGGGCCTACTTCCGAGTCGCCAGAGCCATAGTTAGTTGTATTTGTATTGAGGAGAGAGTTCAACGGTGTCCGGCTTTTCCAGCTGTAAGTAGTAGCCTGTTGTTCCTCTTGTGAAGGCAGGTGATCCAGTTCTTCTTCTTCTTCGAATATATCCGTCTCGTCTTGGAGCAGATAGGCTGTTTCCGGATTGAGATTGTATGGCCGGTTTCTTTTATAATTGATTTTTGATATTTTGCAGTTCTCATACAACTGCAGCGAGTAACTCCGTTCGTCACTCTCTTCCTCATTCTCTTCATGGATGGTAAAGCTCCGAGTTTGCGATGACAATGATGATGTCGAAGAGGTTGGCGATTGCTGTAAGCTGGGTTGTGTTGAAAGGTTTGCCAGCATTAAACGACGTTCCCGCAGTTCCTCTCGGATTGCCGACAAATCTCGCAATTCGTTGCTGCGCTTTTTATTAAGACTTTCTGCCGACGTACTGATATGTGTGTCTAAGAGATCGCCGGATTCACAATTATTCTCCGAGTTCGCACATTCTTCAAAGCCATTTCTCTCCTCGATTTTTCGTAACAACTGAGTGTTGAGTTGTTCAGCAAACTCAGCAAAGTCTTGGTCTTTTTTAATCACAGAGTTCGCATTTGTTATTACCTTTCCTCTTGTAGGAGGTATTGGGCAACTATCTTCTTCATTCAAAAATATCTCATTATGAAGAGTACTGCTAATTTTAAGTTCGTCTTTGCTATTTTCTTGCTCGTTTTCTTTGTTCGTTGGCTGTGAGTCGAGTTCGTTTGTCTTGTCGCGGCCGATTTGTTCACCTTGTGCAGACGTTGGTGATGTCCCTGGCTGTGGTTGATCTGCGGATGTTGCTGCCGCATTTGTTTTACCTGTACTAATGACACTGTCGATGGAGTTTGGCGTGGATGCCTCGCTAGAGTCGCTATCTAAATCATCAGTGGCGGGATTAAACAGCTCCAGAGACATGAGTTTAGGTATAATGGGAACAGACGAAGAGGCCGTTGCCGAGGAACGTCTTACAATAGGAAAATTTTGCCGAATTGCTTGTAGAGACTGTTGCTTACGGAATTTGGGTATAGGGGGTAAATTCTTAATAATCTGCCTTGTAATTTTAGCCGTGACTTCGCTTTTTTGTTTATTATGCTCCCCTTTTTCATTTTCGTGTTGCTTAATGTGAGCAGCATCGAAATTGAATCGATTCTCCCCAGGCTCATTGTTTTTATTGTCGTTTTGGGATGAAGGGGCGTCGATCTCATCTCTCGTATTTTTGGAAGGCGGAGTAAGAATGGCCATAGCAGCGGTTACTGCAGCTACTGTTTGAGGTGGTGACGTAGCTACCGCTTGTATAGCCGCTGGAGAATGTGCCGGAGTGGGTGGGCAGGGCATAATCAAAGGCGAAGTAGGTACTGAGGACAATCGCTGCTGGTGTGAATTTTGCTGATGGTTCAGACACGTCGTGCAGCTGGAAGCAGTGCCATTCGAATGCATTTTGCATGCACCATTTTTGTGCTGGCAGCAGCTACCATACGCCTGGCACACTCCTCCACTACCACTGCCGCCGCCGTTACTTGACGAAGAATTGCTCGAGCTGGAATTTGAATTTTGATGTTGCTGTTGGTAGTTAAGCTGCTGCTGATGCTGTTCTGGCTTTGGAATGAAAATTACAGAGGCAAAGCTATCTTCGGACTCTATACTAGTATCCGATTGCAGACTACTATCTTTGGAGGAGTCTGATCCGGACTCACGCGAGTGCCGCCGTGCTTTCTCCTCTTTATTCTCTTGGCCGTCGTTAGTCGTACAAAACGTATTGCAACCTGCATAGTGATATGTGCTGCAATAGCAGGCCGAGGTGGTGCACTCAGCGCTATTGCAGTATGTAACGGGACCAGCATATTTATTAACAGTGCTGCCGAGCGATAATTGTTTCTGCAGATTGGCTCCTAGCGGCGAGGCAGTTTCGGGGGTTTGAATAGGGCCACCTTTTTGACGTTGGTAATTTTGAAGATTGAGAGATTGTTGCTGTTGCAGATGTTTCTGTACGTAGTGATGGTGGTGATGATGATGATGATGGTACTTGTTGCATTTCGAAGAAGTCGAAGTCTGGGAAGCAGCACTGCTTAGCTCTGGTTCGTTAGTCGTCTTTTCGGACGTACTGGATCCTGATGTATCGGGTGTTATATAAGTTGAAATATTTTGAACGAGTTTGTTCAACCCAGTTTTTGTGGCCCTCTCGAAGCTACCCGTAGAGGATTTCATCTTCTTTGTGAAATTCTCGCGAATGACATGCAGCTTCCTTGAGAACATTGCTGATCGACAAAGAAAAGCCTCATTTAAAGAGGTCTGCTTCTGGATACGTTTGCGAACCCTCTCCTTTTCACGAAGGCGGTTGACTGCCATTAGTTCCTCATTCAAAGAACTTTGCTTACGCAAAAAGATACTCGCCTGCATCATTTGGCGGGCAGTAAGAGATGTCTGACACTGTGGACTTGCCGCGGTTCTTCCCGTATGGTTGTTTAAGTTTCCATTGTTGCTGTTATAGTAAACGCTGTTGCGCAAGTACAAATTGCTGCTGACACTATTACTATTACTATTATATGTACTTATCATAGGAAATGGGTTTTCTGGCAGTTGAAAGTCTTCATCACAAAGGGATTGTTTCTGTTTGATCAACTTCGGTCGCCGTCCTATTGAAGTCCCGCTATTCAAGCTTTTCACATTGGATGTTTTAATTAACTTCGTTGGTGAGACATTGTTTGTAGTGCCAGTACCAGAGACTCCATTGCAATTTTCCATCGCGTGCAGAGCATTTTGTAATGAGTAGGCAGCATTCGACGTTCCGCATTTCTGGCTTACATCCAAATGAAGAATTGTTCCACCTAAACTTGGTACGCTGGAACGAGATCGTACTATTTGACGAGGTGGTGGATTAAGTATACTGCCAAGACTACGAGATTTGAGTCCCGCAGAAAGAGGAGGATCATGAAAGTCTTCAAAGTCTTCAAGGCGTCGGAGCTCAATGGGCAGGTCTCTCACATCCTCGAAATCAAGACTGCTGTCATTTTTCGTTTCTTTCGAAGTCCATGAGTCCAAAAACCACGGATGTCTACGGCCACCAGCCAGTTTCTGAAAGTTTCAAAGTAATTACATGTTTCCGCCCACTGTCCTTTTAAGAAACTTACTTGAATAGCGCGGCGGACAAAGCTGTAGCACGACTCTCCAGGTGACGATGAGGATAAACTCGAACTGTCGCCATCACCAGCGGATCGGCTTGAGTTTGTGGAATCCTCGGTGTAGGCATGATACGGCGGGAGGAAATTATCATCGTCTTCCTCGTCCGACCAGCTAAGAGTGCGAATTTTTGGCGGTTGCCATGGAATGAGCACATCTTGGGACTCGAAACGGCGATGCCTTTGCTCAAGTGCCCAAACCGTTATAATAACACGGCCGCCAATACGCAATATACGTGCCAGCTCTCGAAGAGCGCCCACTCGACGCTCTGTGGTGGCAAAGTGATGTACAACCGCCAAAGAGAGAACAGCATCAAATGATTCATCTCGGAATGGTAGCTCCAAGTTATCACACATTAAAACCTAAATGAAAGAATAGTGAAATTATGAGTTTCTTAATTAATAAGACATTAATTAGTTATTAAGCACACTGGAGAAATAGAAACTGACCTCACCACCTTTTTCACGTGCTACTTTGCTCAAACGGTAACACCGATCCACTCCCACCGTACAAATGGCCGGATTTCCATGGGCTAGATAACGCCCATTTCCACAGCCAACATCACAGATCACAGAACCAGGCTCCAAGTTATTAAGGAATTGTGCGATACGTGGGCGCATTGGCCCTGTAGGTTCCTCGCAGTGTTCGTAAACATCATGAACATAGGCATGTTCCAAGGCCGCCGAACGCCCACTGGCATCACTGCCCACTTTGGCTGAAGACGCGGTATCATTCGCTGATTTTTTGATGGCCAACCCGTTAGCGTCAACAGAATTTGACAACAATGTGATGCAATTGCTGGTACTTCTTTGCAGTACTTTTTTATCATTGCAATCTTCCGTCCCAACGGAATTTACATCATGGGTAGTGTTTGCCACTGTGACATTGGCTATAGGTGAAGGGAGGGGCGATAAAATAAGCGTGCCTGCAGACCCGCGTGTATTGGCAGCGACGGACAAAAGTGTGCAATTGGGGTTCGTTGTGCTGGAACTGGAAGTCAGTTGTTTTGTCATCGATGTGTGTGATTTTGTGTCTACCAAATGTTCGAATTCAATGGCGAAACTTTCATCTAAAAGAAAATTGTTTTGATAATATCTAAACTTTATTTCGTGGTTTATAAAGTGCGTACCGTTTAGATTCCCATTAATGGAGGTCAAAACACCATTCGGGGAATTAACCGAGATCTCCGCTGTAGATGTTATAGCTAAGCAGCTTGTTAACATTTAAGGTGGTTGTATTTGACGTTTATTCGGTTGGTTTGACTTTTGGATTCTTCTACCATAAATCGTTTTTAGAACTACACCACGGAAATTTCTGCAAAGTATATATTTTAGAGTATTATATTATATCGTTGATGTTTTTGCAAAACCGCCTAAATCGCCGTTGTAGTGAAAACGAGATTTGATAACCCTGAACTCCAGGTATTGAGATCTAAGCATAACTATCCTAAAATCGTTGTTAAAAGAATATATTTGTTAAATAATAGCTATAGAAAATACATCCTGTCAAGGAAATGCCTTCAAAGAAAACCCTTTTTTCGCTCTCCTGTAAAATTTGAGTCTCGTAAGATAAGCGGTTTTGCAGTTAGGCGATGGGCGGTTTTGCAAATACATCGACGATATGTATGTGTAGTGTTGTGGTTAGCAGTGCGTGCTACTACTCCGCAGGGCCTGGGTTCAAGCCCTGGTCGAGGCAACATTGCAAAAAAATTTACAAAAATCTTATTTTTTAACAGCGCTCGCCAGCAGGAAATGGCAAACCTCCGAGTGTATTTCTGCCATGAAAACCAACTTCTCGTAAAACTGTTGGTCCCTCCCCTTTGTGTGACAACATCAAGGCGCTGGCCACAAATCGGAGGAGAAGCTCGGCCCAACACTAAAATATGTGTAAGCGCCAATCTATTATTATTATTAAATACATATATGGATGCACAATGTGGTATAAAAATGCGCTATATAAAACCAAGTGTCAAGATCAAGACCTTTGTTATAGGCATCTCGCATCTTATTTACAATTGCTGAATGTTTTCCCTAAAAATTGTAGGAAGGGCGTGTGTGAATCGGTAACAAAGTTCTGTAAGCAAAATTGGTGAATAAAATTTTTTAATATGGTGGGACAAATTTGGCAATCCGTTGTGTGAAATTAAATAATTTTTGCCAACCGTAGATTTATTGGGAATAAGATATTATGAATTAAAGTGAAACCAATATTTTAAAAAGGTATCTTTTATATTGATTGTAATTCACAAATTAAAGTTTTTAATCAATTTGATTTTAATCAACTCAGACTTTCGAAACATCGTCCACCTAATGCCAATTCCACCTAATACCAATTCTTAGTTATTGTTATACCAAAACTCAGTATACCATGCTCACATGGAAACCACATATTTTGCAATGTCAATTACATGAATTTAACTCTACATTCTTCATAGAAAAAAATGTTACTTGATTTCCCAACATTTGGATATGAGGCTTTTACGCGTTTAGATAAATTGCCCTATTATTTTTTTTTCGCTTCTGGCTGTTTTTCTATATTTGTGTCGGAAAATGATACACATCAACAAACTTTGCGATTGTCAAAATTTTCTATACATTTTTTAAAAATTTCACTAACCTCATGGGCCAAGGCGAATTAATATAAGGTGGTGTTACTAGCTCAGCTGATTTTGTGTATGTGTTTCGCCGCACGGCTTCTGATATCAAATTGAAAAATTTTTGTTTGAATTTCTACACACACTCTTACAGATTTTGACAGTTTATGCGCCGAAGCAAAAACAAAATACATGTAAATTTTTGTTTTTGTACTCCTGCTATCACCTTATATTAATTCGCCTTGTCATGGGCTATTGAAATTTTATTCAACTCAAACTTTTTCAAAATTTACTCGTAGCCATAGTAAACAGTAAACCAGCCATTGACAATATGCTTTTTTGAAAATTAATACATGAAATATTGGCTGCATTTCTTTATTCATTCAGAACGTTTGGAATAAACTTTTTTGTTTATTTATTCTTTAGAACGTTCCTGATGATATGTTGACGTATATTTCAAACGCATTCTGTTTATTCCGGCTGTGAAATGGGATTATCCGGAATGTATAAAGAAACGCCATGATTGTGAATGTATAGGAATCTTTTATCATTAACCCATAGGCAACGACTGATGCAAAAGTATCCACAAATGTTTGTTGATATATTTGAAATGTAAATTTGAACAGCGAAATTCGTAAGAAAAATAATAATAAAACAAAAATATTTTTAATTACTACGTGGGAGGTGGGCGTGGTTATTAGCAGATTTCGCCAAAATTTTACACTAACCTAAATTATACCAAAGGCAGCTTCGACACCGACTTTCGTTAAAATATCTAAATTTTGTGCTACTTAGCGTCACAGAGAGGGTTGAGAGTTCATCTCGTCATTTTGAATATTTGATATATATGTATGCATATGTGTATATATATACATACATACATATTATACGGTTAACAAACGCGCTTTTTTATCTGCATAAACGGTCTTTACTTGCATTAATTCGTGCATTATCCTAAGGGTGGGTAACTCAGCAAATTTATAGGAGTTGACTCAATGACTCCAACTCACTTTAAGGAATCAGCTCATTCAACTAACTCATTTGACTCTTTGTATGTTACACTCATTCGTATCGTAGACCCGTTTTGAGGCATAGATGCGGTATAGCGGCCGTTGAGATAAAACAAAGCTTTAAAGTGGGCGTGGTCAGCTCCTTTCTACTGATTTGAAAGGTGTAATTTTTTTTGTGTGCAAATTAATAGGGCGGTGCTAGGGGGAGGGTAAAGGTGGAATTTTCAATATTTTCAAAAGCTTATATTTCGAAACCTATTGTACCGAATTTCAAAATGTGGATATGGTTGGAAAGGCAATTGATTTGATATGCACATCTTTATATATCTTACATACATACATATTTCGAGAAAAACTAAAAAAAAAAAACGAAATTATAAGAATTTGTGAGATTTGACATAACACCCGCAATACAAAATACATGTGGTTGTTGTTGTTGTATTCTTGCCACCACCTTGTATAAATTCGTCTCGTGCAAAAACAAAATGCAAGACTTTGCCATGCTAAACACTGTGGCGAAGCGAGAGAGTTATATGGACAAATATGAGCCACTATGATTCAATTGATTCATGTGAGCCCTACGGCATCAACTGAGTTACTGAGTTACATTTTTTTTGGACAGGGAGTCTGAGTTACCGATTCACTTATAGGAATCAACTCAATAACTCAACTCTGAGTTGAGTTACCCACCTCTACATTATCCTCTTTCAAATGTGAATAAGCGGCTGAACAAATACATACAAATTTCGTGCATTTGAAAATTAGAGAGTTCTGCCTTAAGCCAAGTAATACTTCTTTTACTGCCTAATCGATGGGACCATTTTAAAAAGTCAGCCCACTATTATTCACTCAAAGTTGTGTTCGGAACACGGTTGACTTATGTAGGAACTGCATCCGGTCATAATCGCTTCCCACCCGACCAAGAAACGTATGTTAGCGGATGTTACGAGTTTTACGATAGTTTCTTTTACCCGCAAGCTCCGCCTCACTTAAGAGTCTCGTATTTCAAACGTTTTCTCGTTTTCAAACGTTTTTCGTTTACGCTACTTTCTCGATAATCGAACTGATCGAAACCATTGCCGTTTTCATTAATTTCTCGATAGAGAAACGGATCGAAATAACTTCCGCTTGAGTTACGTTTCGACCATCGAAAACACTTCGAAAAACCTTTTGAAAACGCATGTCGAGAACGAAAATTCTGCTGCCACAAACTGAGCAACGGGTAATACTATTACGATACTTTTTCGGAACCCGTTCTCAATAGGTTTGTAAGTGAAAGCGTTGCTAAACTATCTAAAACGGATCCATTCTCGTGTACGTTGGTCGGGTGGGTTACTGTATACCGTGCTCGCAGCGAACTTTGTGACCGACTCACTCACGCTCTAAGTTAGATTTAAACGTTTTTATTTCGAGTTTACACTTCGTTCCAGTTTACCGCATTGCTAAGCACTGCACTCGTTTTTTAAATGTCAGATGCTTTACGAGCCCGTAACTATATGGGCTACATGGTTTTCGAGATGTTTTGTGTATATTTTTGAAGTACTTGATTTCACGTACCTTTCCGACAAAAAGCCTTATACATATTTAAAATATTTACTTCATTTGTAGGCTCATTTTGTTGAATTCTTCCCTCCTTTCTGTGTTCTATAAATCTATATTTAGCGATAGCATTGAGCCTGAAATATATATATGCAGCTAGATATGTACATACATACATATGTACATATGTATGTGCGTACGTTCAATGTAATTATTCGAACATATGCCGAATCACAAAGTATAACAATCTGCTCGTGTTATTTTTTGCGGATGCTAACTTTCGTTAAGTTCACGTAAACAAAAAAGGCTTCGCTCTCATTTTATTTTGGTTCAACAAAATGTGCTCCACGACATGTCACAGATACTAACTGTCATTACACGGTATGCGCTCTCACGCCAAAGCGACTGTGTTTTGCTTTCGGTAGGAAAGCTTTTAAATTTTTATGAATGAAAAGCTCCTCCATAGTCCGCGTAGATTAGGAAAATTTATCACAATTTAGCAACTGGAATGGGGTCGTTGCGCTGGTTTCGTTGACCTGGCGTAGTTGGCTGAATGAATTTAGGCAACGAATGACTAATTTATACACAGAAACCCAAATATTTTCTGCGAAAAGCCAAATGTAACTATTAAACTATAACCTGTGACTAAGAGATTTGATGCTCTCTAAGAAAAAAGAAGCAACGAGTAGCAATGGGTCTGGTAGAAAATGCACAAGGCTCGTTAATGTAATTAAAATTGTAGACAAGAAACAATTTTTAGCGTGGTTTCCTAAAAGAGTTGCGTCATTTACATTATCGGCATTTGTCGTTGTGAAGAATATTCACCAACATTAATCAAAAACTTGACCGTTTAACAAATTTCAATACTTTCTCTTTTAGTTAGTTTTTATTTTCATGTCTGCTCCTTTAAGTATCCATTGCACGTTTGATACACAACACAGGCTTTCATAAAGGTGCAGGTTTGTTTGTTTGCAGTTAAAGTCGGGAGGCTGTTTTACTTTAATGCAATGTTCCTTTTACACACTCCCACGTATGTGCATATACATATGTATGTATATGTATGTATGCACATTCTAAATTTAATTTCTTCATGAAATCCATGTGTATTCGTTGTTATCTAGCCAACTTAACGAGCAGCGAAAGCTTAAACGGACAGCGGCAGAGAGCAACAGAGTATGCAGGATATGCACTGAAATTATTCTTTGAAATGTGTCAAGTCGCAATGGATAGAAGAGAGGTGAAAGGCGGCAGACCACGAGGACAAAGCATGAAAGCTTTGCCCAATGGGGTAGAAAGGCAAGGCATTTTTCTTCTGCGATTTTTTCTAAAAATAAATCAGATTTTTTGCCAAGAAACATATGTATGTAAACACTCAGAGCTCATGTACAGAGTTTTTCTTAAACGCTTGGTATTACTTATTAAAAATGTATTACTTATTTAAAAAACTTGTGTTTTCTAAAAGCTCAAAGTCCCGAAGGTTTTCTGTTCATGAAAAAAAAATGAATTTCACTCGTGTACGCAAAAGTAAATCTTACTAACCACTAAGCCACTAAGTTTAATGAGTTATCGAAACGACAATCGCGCAAAATTTATTCACACACTTTCACAAAGACCTGGTTTTTCACAATTCCTTATATAGAAAATTTTTTACAAGCAAAGACAAGCAATGCCGTCGAAATAAAGTTATGTCCAGACTATTCGAGCTAACGTCAAAAACTGAACTGGACGAAGTGAGTCAAACAACATTGAACCCAACAGAGCTTCACTGAAGTTAAAAAAGGTGCTGCCAGATTACATTTGATTCTACACCGAATAGTGGTGTTAGTATCTACTTACTTATTCGGTTGTTTATTCTCAAAGCCGCTGAATGCGCACATAAATATTGTTTCCCATTTTAAGGAAATAAATAAACTTAATGATGGATGCAATGATAACTTGTCTGAACTAATGCAAAACGCATATACTCCTATTTGCATACATACGTATTATGTGGCGAGAAGAGAAGCAGCTTTTTTGGCGTATAAGCATTTTAAAAAAAAGCTTTCGTTAAAAAGCTGTTGGCAACAAGCTTCGTATACAAAAGTTTTGAAATCAGCTTTCTTTACATTTTATAAGAACGCACGCGCAATAGAATCTCTCTTTCTCTCTGTAAATATTAAAGCTAATTATATTGGTAGAACTTTGCAAATAAATAATTTATTCTTCCCAAAATATACTTAAACTTGTAAGGATTTATTACTGACTTGGTAAAATATGCATTTGTATATAATATGCCTCGAGTTGATGAGTAATAAAAATGACAGTCTTCAAAAGACAATGACTAGATACAAAGATGATGGACCGTTAAAATACAATAAAGTAATATAAAATTTCTCCCTTTCACTTATTCCTTCCCATCTAGAATCGAGTTATTTTACTGCTCTCGGGAGAGTCTGGTAAAGATGAACACTCTGATCTCGTGGGGCTTCCCCGTTGTGGACGAGGTGGAGGTCTCTGTGGATTTATGTTGGCATTGGCCTGACGCAGGTTGGCAAAAAATTGTTGACGTCGTGGACCACCACCGCGCAGTGGAAGTGTAGGAATTTCACTTGGAGACTGAGCCATTTCTGCTTGCGAGCAACTACGCATAGCTGGATTAACACACTCATAAACGCTCTATGGAAAGAGAACACAGGTCATGTATCAGTAGTTGAAGTTTCAAAAGACCCCATTCTGTCTCAGCATTTACCTGTTCGGAAGAGTACTGATTATTCTGCGCGAAGGCAAGCGAAGTAAGCGATGGCAACGCCTGAGCAATGTCCGAGCGCTCAATACCGCGCACGATAAGAAACGTACGCGGAATAAGCACTCCCACCAATATGGCCCAACCGGTGGCCTGAAGACCCAAAGGAATAGCTGCATCACGTATCTCATCTCCCAAAAATGACATTCCAATCCAAACAATCCAAATGAGAAAAGTCAGCACTGCACCAATAACAATGAGGATTCCTTCCCGATAATTCCGTTGTGAGCGATATATGAAAGGTACCAGGGCGACAACTCCCACCAGCAAGATGAAATCGTAAGCGACCAAAACCCACAGCCAGTGTCCATAGTACATATTCTCGCATGATATACTCTCAGTGGCGACATGCATAATCACAAGCAGCTGTATGGACATACCCAACTGCACGAAGATACTGAGAATGCAAATGACTGCCTGAATGTAGCCGTTGACATGGGACAAAAATCCACCCTCTGAGCCGATCGATGCTAACATTACGGCACGGCAAAGCAGCAACGAAAATGTAAAGCAATAGACGAGGGTCATAATGAAAACGCGCACGGCGCAAAGGGTGTTCAGTGTGGCGGCATCTTCGAAAGTCACGTGCGAGTTACGGTGTTCGCCAATGTACTCCAAAGAGAATGGCACAAACGATGTGAATAGTAAAATCAAAGACAGTAATAAGAGAATCGAGGTGACCGGGTTGCCTTCGAACACGTCGCCCAAGGATATGCGCACTACTATGAACACCAATATGGCTAAGGTTATTATTAAGCCGAGAATAGCGGCCGTCATCCCGGTGGCTACCCAAGCGTCGGGCTTAATACGCCAGAACATCACTGATTCTCCATCGAATAAAAACGGATACCTTGCATTCTCCCCCGCACTGTACTGGCAATTGAAGACCTGTCCGAACTTCGGTTTCAGCTCTAGACTTGTGCTGTTCGCTCTGTTGTAATGATAGAAAGTAGTTATGTTGGTAACAAAGTTTTGGGACGCAATCTCCCGCAGTTCTATGTGATCCTCGCCAGACGAAACGGTTGCAGTTCCGTGACCATTTTCGCTGACTTTCTGATACATTTGGAAGTTCATTAGGGAAGCAAATCGATGCATGTGTAATAGTTCTAGAATTTTTGCAGGTTCGTAGTACTGACGATACTCAGGCGTTTGCCAGTCGGCGATGAACGTGAGAAAATTGAAGCATGACTCGAATATGAAAATGTTTTGCTCCCGCTTACAGTTGCGCATCAACGAGCCCTTAAGCCAACGCACCAGCTCCAGCATTGGACGAGCAAAAGCGAAAACTCGAGATGGTTGAACTGATTTACCCTTAAATGTTTCGTCTAATGTAGATAAGGTAGAATTCCCGTCAATCGCATCCGCATCTATTTCGCGCTCCATAAGTATATATGATTTATCTGGTAGATCTGTAGTGAAAAATATTCAATACTATAGACGCTTTTTTATGTATGGGCTATTGAATACTCAAACACGGAGTTTAGTCCTTGTTTCTGGCGAGGTTTACCTGATATAAACGTACGATCTGCGCGATCGGTGGGAACTGCGAAAATTGTGCCATTTTCTTCAAAATGGTGAGCCATCTTATTACCGAAAAGGATGTAGACATTTTTGTCGCTCTTGAAATGCATTAAGCACATTTGTTCATGCCGGATTGCCTCCATAAACTCATTATAAGTTGCCAGATTTTCAGTGAGAATTTCCACAGAAGCTATACTTTCTCCCCAAGGCATTTGATGTAATAAGTGCGCAACTTTGGGAAAGAGATATACGTGTGGCGAGAGTATGGGCCAAATATTGTACTCCAGATCTTTGATGATCTGTTCTGAACTCTTGTATACATCATGGTCGACAAATATTCCAATGGCGTGAGTTATGCACTGCTGCAGATACTGCACCTCCTGCATGAGTAAGTTTTCGGCAATTGTTTCATCTTCGATGAGGATAGCACGGACTCCTGTAAATATTAAAGGATTTTCTGGAGCTTTAATAAATTTTATAAAAAATCATCCGTGTATAAGAAACTTCTATATTAAATTCGTAATTAAATATGCTTGCATATGTTTCTTTACGACAGCAATGCTTTTGCTGGCAGCCCTGGTTTGACATTTCGTTAATGAAAGTGCTATAGGCAGGATAGGCAGCTTGTCTTAAGGTTTTTGAGTTTCATATTATGTACAGCAAAATTCATCAGCCAGCCTGTGGTAACTTTGACTCACCAATTTCAAAATCTGCATCCAACAGATTTGCTCGGTTAATACGGTTCACAACAAAAAGCACCGAGGCGACGTCTGTTGTCAGAATGCTGAGCATGGCATCGCCTTCAATAATGTGGACAAAGTCCCGTTCATGGCGCACATTTTGTGCCTGGTCCATGTCGGTGGGCATTACTCTCAAGCCATGTATGCAAATCTCCGGTATGGTGGCCGATGTACTGCTATCAGTGATCTCCGTTGTCGACGAACTCGGCGGCGGTGCGGTGCTTGTTGCCGCTGTTGCAACTCTAGTTGCGGAACCATTATACAGGGTTCTCGGCGTTGGTTTAGTAATTTTAAGTAGGCCAGTTTTAAGGGTAGATCCTTGCGCGCAAACACCAATTGAATTTAAGCAAAATGTTGAGGCCAACACAAGAGGCCATAATAAAACTGAAAAGACGTATGGATTTACCTGAAGGCAATTAAGTTTTTTTCAGTGCATGTAGAGAATATTGCTCACCATTTTTTCTTGCTGCCATACTCGTTTATTCGGGAACTTCTACCTCATTTGTAACGCTTCCTGGTTGACAATGTGTCTGCTTGATACCTGGATAGATAATTATGTTTGCGAATCAGGTTAGATATTGAGGTCATAGCAAGAGTGTTATGTAATAATAACGTTCATTCTATCTTAGATCTGGGGCACCACTAACTGAATTATGCAAATTGTGCTGGTTATTCTGCAAGTTTTGTTTCCTCGTTCTTTGGTTTGCCTATTTCTGCATAGCGCCCGCCATTTAGTGTGTCTGCATGTACAAATGTATGTAAATATGCATTGTTTATGGTGGCATTTACATATGTAAAGGAAGGTTATTTTTATTTCCTATTTTCGAATACATATGTACGCATGCAGATGTTTAAACGAACATACGTATTTTGCAGATTTACTATTCACTGTAATCGCATTAGACCTACAGCAATTCGAATAGTAAAGGCAAGGAGACACTGGAATATATCTACATATGTACATTCATATGAACATTCATGCAATGTTGTGCACATTTTGAGGTACATATTTGCTGTTAACCAGACAGCGTAAGTAAGCATTATAAGGAAAACGGAAAAAATATTCATAACAATAATAGAAATAAATAATAACATCGCACAACAGCGTTTCTGATGATTAGGTTATGTTACATGATACTACCCTAATTTATAATGACCACTTAAACTCTGTGCATGAAATTTCTCTATCAGCTCTAGTTTGAAATTATGACAAATGGTATTTCGCATTTTTTCGTATTTTCGAACTTTTTTTTGTATATAAGAAATTGCGTGAAAATAATGCCAAAAATCAATGGTAAGTCCTAGCTACTTCAAACTTTATCATAATAAAATTTATTGGACTACAAAATTTCATACTCGAAAAAATTCTAAAAAAATCCGATTAAAAAGTTGCAAATTTGCATGAAAATTTATTGAATTTTCCTGAGTTTTGCACAAAGTCTAAAAGTACTATTTTTATATTTTAGAAGTTGCGGCCAGAGAGCTGTTCTGAATGTTCCAACAATAGTCAGCCATCATGTGTGGTGGTTTTACAAAAGTGAAATCTATAACTCGTAAACAAGAGCTGCTAGAAAAGAAATTAGGCTACATATATTTAGAAACAGCGAAGTAAAATTAAAAAAAAATGTAATTTTGTTGGCCAGTGTTATTAATA